AGTGAATTTTTTTTATATGGAAGAAAATATGTAGAGCTGTCAGCAAAACAAACAAAAAAAAATATATTAAAAACCAACGCAATTTCTTAGCCACTTCAAATTTGTACATTTTTATACTAAAACAGAATGGGGTATAAAACTGCAAACCAGAAATTTTCTTAAAAAAGCTGAGTAAAAAGTTTAAAAAGTTGAGTTTTTGATTAAATTTTCCTTAATTTTGTATACTGTTTGAAACTTTGATTTATATGGTTTCATTTGTAGCATGAATCATACATACATATATTTGTAGGAAAATAACAAAAAAATTATAGCTTGCAAAACATTGTATATTTCAAAAAAAATAAATAAAAAAGGGTGAAAGCAGATACATGTGTATAGTGGAGCGAGTGTATAGCTCGGAACACTTTGACGACAGCAAGCGACAAGCAGCATCTGTCAAATTTTAAATACACACTTTCTTACGGACACAATTATTTTGACAACAGCACGACATCTTGGCTGCAGGACTGCAATTGTCGACGTCGCCAAATTAAATCTATTTCTAATTTTGCCGGCGACAATGAGTAGATGTAGTGCTGCAAAATTAAATTGTGGCAAAATTAATCACATATTCTTGATTGTTCATGTTTTTCTTATTTACTTAAATAAAAATAGACAATTTGTGAAATAAATATACCAAAATGTCAAACTTTAAAATCAGTTGTTTGCTATGTCGCTGAGGTCTTCAAAATGTTTAAGAAGCTGGCTTCAAGGCGACATTTGTCGACAAAATGATGTCGCTGTCGTTACGTCGTGAAGTTGCAGTCGTCAAAGTGTTCCGAGCTAGAGAATGCGAAACTGAGCGAAAAAGTGACCAGGCTTGAAGGTATATTAAACTATAGAGAGCAACAGTTGTTGGACAGCGCAGTTGATATTGTTGGAGTGCCAGCTGTTACCGACGAAAAGGCAAAAGAGTGCACACAACATATTTTAAGCACAGCTATGGGCATTTCCATAGGTCCGGAACTGATACAAAAATGCTATATAAAGAAAGTTAAGCAAAAATCTGATTCTTCTCCTGCAACAAATATTATTCGCGTGCATTTCGCTTCAGCTGAGCTAAAGAAAAAAGTAATACAGGCTAAAAGAAAAGCAAAAGGTAAATTAACCAGTGAAATTCTTGGAGAAAAAGATAAGAGGAAGATCTTCATCAATGAGAGTCTCACTACATTCAACAGGTCACTGCTGGCTGCTGCGAAAATAAGCAAAAATGAAAAAAATTATAAATACCTTTGGATTAGTAATAGTAAAATTCTTTTGAAAAAGAACGATAAGGACGGGGTTGTTGTTTTAAGAACTTTTGACGATTTAACTAAAATTATTTAATCTTTTTTTAATTACACTTAATTTAGTTTTAAAGTAAAATTTATGAATTTTTCAAATTTTCTTAAAACAAACGACGTCATTCCTAGTCCCATTAACGATTTGCAACACTTATCTTACGTTACTAATCCCTTTGTTATTGTTCACCAAAATATTCGTAGTCTCCGGCAAAATTTTGACTTGCTTCTATGTAATATCGAGTTATTTAAAGATTATCCTGATATTATTTTTGTATCAGAAATCTGGATTTATAAGCATGAAACACAAGATTTTAAAATGCGTGATTATAACTTTTTTGCAAATACTAATGAGCGTTACTGTGCAGGTGGAGTAGGAGTATTCGTGCGTAGTAGGTACGATTGTGATTATTGTTGTTATTACTTGATAAGCGCGGACATATTAAAGCTTTCAATTAATATCGCTGGCAAAATATTTACTTTCTTATGTGTTTATAGATTACACTCAGTTTCCGTTCAAAACTT